AAAAAAAAATGAAGCAGAAAAACTGCTCTCAGCTGCTATATAAACGAAAAGCACAACCAAAAGTTACCGTTCAGGAAAGAACTCACATTCACCTGCAAAGTTGTCATTTAACAGCGCTGTACCAATAGTAAAAACAAAACTAGGAAATAAAGATGAATTAGTGAAGATATTGTTGGTATTCTAGGGTCAGTTCTAGCTCTGTGTGTACCGAAAAGAAAAAAGGAAAGAAAATAAATTGACGTGGGTTATAGTGAACAAAGGATAATTAAGATTTTTCAGATTCGGTTTTTTTTGTGAAACAAGTCGTACATGAGGATGAACATTATATTAGGCTGTCCCAAAAGTTCTGTCGTTTCAGTTTTGACAAGTAACTTTTCGCTGTTTCGACGGATTTGCTTCAGAGTAATTTTGTTAGAAAAACGAAGTCCTTCTCTCTGTAAGCGTACCCTGACAGCTTCTATTATACCTATGCACTGACAATATCAGGATTTTTTGCAGCATCCCAAATTCTTTGGCGACCTAACTCAAAATAAAAAGCCTAAAGATTTTCTTTCTCCATTTTTATCTACAAGGAGCGTATAATAGAAACTCATCAAGATATGCTTACAAAGAGAAAGACTGTTTTTCTCTAATACATCAAAAGGGACTACGTCAGGATAGCAGAAAGTTACAAATTTTCAAAAATGCAACGACGGAACTTATAAGACAACCTAATACTTCCTACACTCTTTTCCCAGCACGAAACTCGCAGATTTGTGCAAACGTTTAGAGGAAAACAGAGATTTCATATGCTCCCAATGTTCCCATAACAACTTCAAGAACTTTTGTGACAACATGAAATCAAAATCAGCTAATAAATTCAAAACATCGCGAATCAGCAAAAGAGATTTTATGACAGAAAGGTCAAACATGTGGTCGAATTCTCGGAACCTGAAAATTGATGTAAGATTCTTTGTTCTCAACTCTGTAATTCTAAATCTGCTGTAGAAACTTTGAGCGCTATTTCCACACCATTCTTCGTAAACTTTTGACGTTTTTTTTGCAGACTACCCCAAAATATTTTCTTTTGTTAAAGCTGCTTAAGACCCATAGTCTGATCCATTTCAACATAACAGATTATGAAATTAGGAACTAAGAAACCATGCAGTTGACATACTTTTCGTACATCAAGACGATTACTGTACAACTACAGTTCACTGAACTATATCAGAGAGTGAGCACTTAGGAGTTGAAATAAAGGACTGGGACTCAGCTGTTCCTTCGCAATCTTAGTAATGAAATCATCTAGGGAATTATATGGGATTATAAGGACTCTGAATTTAAGAAATAGAATACTCACGTCGTAGACGGCGAAACCGATAGGAACATTATCTAAGCCTTCAGCTTTCAAATTTCTTCGATATTTTTGCATAACAGCAAAGATGACAGTGCACAATTCATCATCGTCATCGGGATCAGAATCCGTCAACTGTACACGGTATTGAGGATTATTTGCGAAAGTGTCTGGAAAATCCCATCATTCGCCAGTAATTCAAACGGATTTCTTGTTATCCTACTGATGTAGTTTCTGCAGCCTCCAGCTGTTTGATTAGCGATCCAAGCTCCATCGTGGGTGTTTGCTGCCCATACCATTCCAGGGGCTCGTACTCCAGTCATCTAAGATTAGGGAGATAAGGATAAAAAAGATCTGTTAATTTAACTTTTCGTCGCATCATAAATATATGGGCTAGCGGAAATGACGGTGATTGGTGTCCCTGCAGTGGTTGCGGTTCGGCACTTGCAGACAACATTTGCGCGCAAACAAATTGCAAATATGCAATGCTGGGAATTTACGCGTATTTTGCGGTCGACAAATGTCGCCACCACGAAGACATTACATTTGCTCAGACTTACTGGGCAATACTTATTAGTGGAAAAGTTTTGCAATTTAGGTTAAATTATATCTTACAAACCTGGTAAACTTCATCCATAACATCAGGTCCAAGATTGCAAATCTCCATCTTCTCAAAATACTTCATAAAGTCCTCAAAGCTCATCCTGAAAAACCAAAACCATCAGCACAATCATCTTGATTAGTTACATAGCGCCCAAGATTCCACGGATTTTTTGTGAAAAAGGTAATATAGGTAATAGGTAACATATTATAGTTGAAAAATCGCAAAAATTTCATGGCCTTTATTACTACCGCTTCTTAAAGAAATAGATAGATGACAGAATAATATCTTCAAAAAAAAAAACAACACATTCTTCCTGAACACTTGCTTGG